GACGCTGCATCTTATGAATTCCTAATGAATTTACAGGTTCTTCCTCTGCTTGGTTAGACTTGGAAAGGAGAAATCAATTAAAAAACAGATTATCATTTTTGTAAGTTTTTGTTTCTCAGTGAAGTTTGCGCAGAATCTTCATCTTCATTTCATTTCATTTCATCATCTCTGCTCTCATACATAACACTATTCTCCGTGTTTATTCAGTATTCAATTCTTTCTGCAGTCTTTTCCTGTGTCAAGCATAATGGCTGAAATCGCCCTCACATTCCTCAGCCCTGTCATTGAGGTGGCAATTTCCAAAATGTTTTCGTTTGGTAAGGAACGAATTGGGAACGCACTGGGTTTAGAGAAGGAGCTTGATAGGCTTGTGGATTCTCTCACTCTCATTCAATCTGTCGTCCAACACGCAGAGGAAAGACAAGAAAGTGATCCTGCTGTAAGGCGTTGGTTACAGAAGCTCAATGATGTAGCTTATGAGGCCGTGGATGCTCTGGATGAGTGTGAGTACAAGGTTCTTGAGGACGAAGTTAAGAGGGTGTGGCACTGGAATCCTGCATTTATCTTCTCTTCTCAAAAGTTTCGTGTTCATATGACTGACAAAATCAAGAAGATTACTGAGGAGTTGTGCCATTTGAAAGACTCGGCTGCCACGGTCAATCTGGTGGTCACATACAGAGGCCAAACTTGTTCAATGCAGTATCCAAAGACAGACTCCTTTCTTAATTCCGTAGTATTTGGAAGGGAAGACGATGTCTCAATAATAGTCCGCTTGTTGCGCGACTTGAGCAGTAAACATCTCATCTCTGGCATTTCCATAGTAGGTATGGCTGGGGTTGGAAAGACAACAGTAGCAAGATCAGTATACAACGAAGCAAAGGTGAAAAAGCTCTATGATCTAGTGGCTTGGGTCTGTGTATCTGAGGACTTCACTGATCAAACAATTTTGGGAGAAATGTTGCGGCATTTTGATCGTACAGCCGCTCAAACGAATAGTGTCAATGCATTGCTTGAAGATCTTTCTAAAGAATTAGAGAAGAAAACTTTTCTTCTCATTCTTGATGATGTATGGAATGATGATCGTAAAAAGTGGGATTCTTTCAGCTCTTGTTTGTCAAAAATTCTCAAAACAAATGGGAGTTCTATTGTTGCAACAACACGTAGTGGAAAGGTAGCATCTGTGATGGAGTCAATTCCTATGCAAAGCTATAAAATGCAGGGGCTATCAGATAATGAATGTTGGTTGATAATCAAGGAGAAGTTTCTCAGATCATCCACAGGAGCTACTTCGATGCCTGCAGATTTGGAACCTATTGGACAGGACATTGCAAAAAGATGTGGGGGTTCACCATTAATTGCAAGTGTTATCGGAGGGACATTAAGTCGTCAAGCCAATGCAGATACGTGGGAGGCTATCAAAAATGATGAAGCTTGGCAATTTAATTCAGGGGCAGGAGATGAGATTTTGCCTATATTGAAAATAAGTTTTGATCGCTTACCTTCTCCTTTGAAAAAATGCTTTTCTTACTGTGCAATTTTTCCAAAAGACTTTGTCATTGAAAAAAACGACTTAGTTCAACTCTGGATGGCTGTTGGATTTCTTGAACAATCTAAGGAAAGGGACAAGACAATGGAGGCTATTGGTAATGATTATTTTAATCACTTGTTAGCCAATTCCTTATTTCAAGATGTGGAAATGGATGAATATGCGAATATCAAATCTTGCAAGATGCATGATGCGGTGCATGATCTAGCACTGTTTGTCTCAAAAGGTGAAGTTTTGATTTGGGAGGAGTCTGGTTGCAATATTGTCGAGAATTCTAAAGTTCGACACTTGAGAATTAAGTCTGAGGGGAAAACGTGTCCAACCATTCCAGCAGACGTTCAAAAAGGGTTGCATTCTTTGTTCTCAAGTGTTCATGCTTTCACAAGGATGGCATCTGATTTGGAAAGCTTGCGATCTTTAAAATTAGGAGGAGATTCCATGAGAGTTTTACCAAATTCTTTCGGTAAATTGAAGCATTTGAGATACCTTGACATATCAAAAAGTGCAATTCAAAGACTACCAAAATCTGTCACCAAGTTCTACAATTTACTGACTTTAAGATTCATGGACTGCATTTCATTGGAAAAGCTCCCAAGTGGTACTAAAAATCTAGTCAGCTTGAGGCATATTTATTCTGATGATGAAAGGCATATGCCAAGTGGCATTGGGAAATTAACTTCTCTTCAGACTTTACCACCATTTGTTGTGGGCACAGAAAAGGGTCGGAGAATAGAAGAGCTTAAATCTTTGAACCAACTCAGAGGAAAACTGAAAATTTACAAGCTTGACCTAGTATCTCAATCAGAAGCTAGAGAAGCAAGACTTAAAGATAAAAGAGAATTGATCAAGTTGAAATTTGTATGGAGTAAAAACAGAGCCAACAACAGTGACAAAGATATGGTTGTTCTGGAAGGTCTTGAACCTCCCTCAACATTGAAATGCTTAACCATTGAGAATTATAGGGGAGGCATCTGCCCTTCATGGATGATGAATTTGGAACAGCTTGTGAAGTTGACATTGATTGATTGTGATGGAGTTGGTGATATTTCATGCCTTGAACTCTTACCTGAGCTTAAGGTTCTCAATATAAAGGCAATGCCAAATGTGAGGAGGATAGGCAGAATGTCTTATCGTCAAAGTAGCAGCATGGCAATCGACAGCCGAGGTGAAGCAGAATCAATCCTACCATTTCCAGCTTTGAGAAAACTTACTTTACACCACATGAAAAAGCTGGAGAAATGGACGGAAGCACAAGGCATGGTCGTGTTTCCTTGCCTTGAGGAGTTGGATATT